ACATATCAATGAATTGCACAGTAACATTGTCACTTTTTCTTCTCTATGACATGGCGTATATAGAATTTTGATATGACGTTTCGTCTCTTGACCTCCAGCAATAACTTTTTTTTCCATTATTGAGGCCTTTTGGGATTTTTACACAGGCGTATATAGTTTATAATTTTGATTCTAAGAACGTATAATATGTCATACACTGACATCGCCAAACCTTACTTATTTCAAAAAAAAGCAGACTTTCCTATGTTGGACCTGAAATTATCTCATAGTATTTTTTTGCATATCAGATTTATCCTAAAATAGTTTTTACCTATTCCTGACTATTTGAAATAGGATTTTGAAATAACTGCATGTTGTCATTGTTACTCATTCCTCTGTATAAGATGGCGTAGTCAAATTTTCAATTCGAGGTTTCTTCTTTCGACTTCCATAACCAACTTTGTTTTTTCGTATGGACCTTAAGTTCAGTGATGTATCTCCTTAGTTGGCCATTCATTTGCGTTAGATGAAAATTATAAGGAAATAGAAAGGTTTGGTGAAACCTGAAGCCGGAATAAAAGACAGAGGGAACATCATAATATATATAGATTCTAATTATGCCATCTTCTATAGGAGAAAAAGTCGCAATGTTAATGTCCATTTAAGAATCTCGCAAAAATTTGGTTTGTCTCTAATATTTTGATTTTTCAATGTTGTTGTCAGGTAAACAATCCTGTTAGCAAGCCTTAGATTGGGACTGAGCGTTTCAAAAAATAAGAAGTGAAATGTAATAAATCAAAATTACCACACAACTGTCCGGGTAACAATCCAATGATGAGGTACAATGCTCCTTCGCAACGCCGATAACTATAATATATACTTACCGATTAAAATATTTCCACTTATTGAGTTTAAACTGCTTTTTGCAATCCAAAGAAACCTTCACCTTTTTCGGTAATTGTCTGAAACACTACGATTGTATGGAACCCACGCGCATTTATATCTTTTCGCAGAAAAGTACAACTTCAATGTGAAATATCAAAAACGAATGACTACATAATTTTGGCGACAAACAAATCGTAGGCTTGCTCCTTCTACCTGTTTCGAATTCGTCGATTATTTGAGAAGCCTCCAGACTTGTATCACTTCTGAAGCAGACAAAAAATATTAATTTTGCTTTTATGCTGATTGCGTCCGTAAATTCTCACATGCTACACGCTGCAGAAACTCCTCTATGCTAGCAATAAATTAATCCCTAACATGAAGATTACATGTACTCGCCAGGCTAGCAAGTAGTCGTAGTAGTCTCTGTCCTACGAGTTACACGAAAACACCCTCAAGGCAATCTTCCAAAACCCATTTGCATTTTCAGTACAGTCACCTTAGAAACTGCCTGTCCTTATTCAGTTTCACTAATTAGGCAAGAAATGTGGTAGAGAGACAATTCGACAATTCATCACATTTAGCTACTTTTGTGCTTATCAGATGAAGTAACCATCAGATTTATCCAATGGATTAAGAAGAACCAAGTTTACGATTTGTTTCTCTCCAAAATCTCAGTCTGTAGTCAGAGTGAAAGTGCATACTGGAAGTGGACTTGTCATGAGTTAATTTTTTGACAGTTTAGTTATTAAATTCGTATTTTTAGTGCAGATTTTTAAAAGTGCAGATGACTGTGATGATAGAAGATTTCGGGACATGGTACTGCTCGCATAATTTGCAAAGAGCGGCACAAGACTAACGAATGTTGATCTTTTTACCGGTAAGTATTATTACTACGGTGATACGTTCTCAATTTGGTAGGCATTGGCAGCCAAATGAGTCAAAAGCATAAAGTTAAACTGGGGAATTCTGGTGAAAAAGAATACTATATAAAAATGAAGGCTTGGTTGCTTGTAATCTATTTTAATTCGTTGTATTTTTCTAATTACGCAGCTTTAACAATTCGTTAATATTATTAAATGCGCCACCCTGTATATATATATATATATACAGGGTTATCCAAATTAAGTGTCCACCATTAGTAACTTTGTTATTAGTGAAAATACAAAGTTGTTTGAATTAGCAAACTAGTAGCATTTTTAACGCTGGTAAAAATGAGAAATAAAAAAAAACAATTGAGAGTCGTTATTTTGATTTTTTTCAGTAAAATAACATTTTTTTAAATGGAAACCCCTGAATATTATATTTTTTTCTGTTAAAGCATCAAATTTTAAACAAAAAAGCTTACAATAACTTTTCTCCTAGGTTACAAATTGTTGAAGTTATGGCCTCCAATCTGAAACAATTAAATTGTATCGACAAACTTTATTTTCAACATCAACTTATAATCTTACAAAATACAATAACAATTTTTTTTAAAGAAGATGCTCGAAAACACCACCTTGTTCTTCAATACATTTTTGGGCACGTTTTTCAACTGCTCGAACTGTCTTAAGTATGGTCCTACCATCTATCTGGGTTATCTTTTCCCTAACTGCAGTCTTTAACGCGTCAAGGTTATCGTACCTTCGCTTGTAAATTTGGTTCTTTAAGTAACCCCACAAGAAGTAATCAAGTGGGTTTAGATCTGGTGATCTGGGAGGCCACTGTATTGGGCCATTTGTTCCTATCCACTGATCATTAAAAGTAGTACTTAGAAAATGATAAGTACCTCTGGAGTTGTGGGCAGGTGCGCATCTTGCTGAAAATGCAGATGATGTCTACTTATAAGATCCAATTCGTCTAAGAAATTAGTCAGAATTTCTGACATAAATTCCACATATCTTTCACCAGTTAGGGTTCCCTCATAAAAGAACGGGCCAACAATTTTTGAACCAATTATACCGCACCAAACGTTGAAACTGAAACGGACTTGTGGGCCTCTTGGATGTACTAACAAAAGATTTTCTCTTGACCAATAATGGTGGTTTTTTCTATTAAACATTCCAGAATTTGAAAAATTTGATTCATCTGTCCATAAAAGGTAACGAAAGTTATTTACATTTTGGCGACAGAAGCTAAGATACCAATGGCAAAAAACAAGTCTTCTCTCTGGATCCCCTGCCAAAAGCGTTTGAACTGGTCGGTACTTATACGGAATAAATTTGTATTTTTTTAAAATCCTTTGAACAGTACCATAACTGAAATTAGAGTCCTTGAGAATATCTGCTATTGAATTCTCACGATAAGCTTCAAAATATCCAATAACTGCAATTTCCGTGGCCTCGCTTATTATGAATTCTTTTTTTGTCCTTGTTTTAGCAAAAACATTTTCGTTGCCCCTAAAGTTTCGATAAAGTCTCAGAAAATATCGTTCATACGGTTGAATGCGAGCGGGATATAATTCACTGTAGTATTCTCTTGCTCTCAAGGAGGATTTTCTGCACACTAAATAGCAATCTAACATATCACACTTTTCTTCATGGGAGAACATTTTTCTTTAAATTAATGACACAATAAAGCTTATAAACAAGTATTTACACTAAAGTTTGACATTATTTGATTTTATCATTGTTTTCCAAAGCCTTCTAGTTGCGAGTATGTCCAGTTTAACAATTTGTCGCTTATCTTAATGCTGTCAAATCGCGAACGCCATGTTGTTTTCATAGCCGTCTTAATATTATAATACTGCAAATAATTAAAAATATTTATCGTTATTTTGACTTTATTTTTGACTTTAGCGGAAAAGTCATTATGAACTTTTTTGTTTAAAATTTGATGCTTTAACAGAAAAAAATATAATATACAGGGGTTTCCATTTAAAAAAATGTTATTTTACTGAAAAAAATCAAAATAACGACTCTCAATTGTTTTTTTTATTTCTCATTTTTACCAGCGTTAAAAATGCTACTAGTTTACTAATTCAAACAACTTTGTATTTTCACTAATAACAAAGTTACTAATGGTGGACACTTAATTTGGATAACCCTGTATATATATATACTTTTGGTGTACTTGTTTGGAAAATTCGTTTTGTAAATTCCTTGTACTATATCCTGTAATGAATATCGGGAGCAAATTGTGGATCCGCACGCCACAAATTATATTCATGATTATAACACCGACCTCTCGGCAACAAGCTGTTATTGAAAATAACCCCAAGATATTGAATTTCGGTCTGCTGCTGGTGTTCTGTAACTACAGGAAATTAGAGAATACTTCGACGGTCATGACCACCGCGTGACTATAATCGGAATGGAATTGCAGGGAATATTGTGAAATAAGGAAAGGTTTAGATGATAAATAAAATAGAAAAAGGTGTCCAAAAAGTATGGAAACATCAAAATATCTTACCCAGAGAAAAACGTAAACTGAAAAGTTTACATTTTGTTACTTACAATGTTATTAGATGAAATAATGTTAAGTGCAAAGGAAAGTTCTAGCATGTGGATTAACTATGTTACTAAAATATAAAGCTTTAGTTAGTTTAGGATCATCAAGCTGAAGTTGAATTTATCGATTTTTCTTACTCCATAAGAGTGGCGGCTCGTGGCAAAATAAAACAGGTGTTCTGCAAATCCGAACTTACCTATTTTTTATGTCAGATCCTGCGCTCCTTCTTGGCAGCAAATTTGTCGACCATCTTCCCGTTCAAATTTTCCATGGACGAAATAAATCCCTTTTCAATGAACAGCATCGACAACGCTGTAAGGCGTTCCTGGGTCATAGTATTTCGAAGAAAGGTCTTGATTTTTTTCAATGTTGAGAAATTTCGCTCAGCCTCTGATGTTGACATAGGAGTTGTAATAATATTTTCTAATAGCTTCTTTGTTTCTTTTAGTGTTTCTTCCAAACTATTTTGTATCAAGAATTTCAAAAGACAGAGTTCCATGTAAATCTTGGCAATCATTCCGTGCATAAGTAACAGACAACTCTGTCTTTAAACGACTTTTTAATGCGGGATAAACCAAGCCATCATAGCTTTGTGAAATCAGTTTGTTAGGGAAATTCCATATTAATGGATCTACGACGCTCAAAATATGTCTTGTGAGAGTATCAGCGTCACATTTTTCGGGATTCATATAATTCCAAAAACCTACTGGTTTGCTGTTAAATACGTATCTGAAAATTGGTACCAGTTGGTTTTTCCCCGAAATGTCCGTTGTTTTATCTGCTATTATCGCCAAATACGAGGCTCTGTTAATCTGTTTCATTATTTCTTCATGACAAACTTCAAGAATACAATCCAGTAGATCGTTTTGTATTTCTTTCGAAGTTCCTTTAAATATTGAAGCATTTTTTGTAAAGTATGCAAGGAAACTAGAAAAGGGCATTCTTCCTGTTGCAACCACAAATCCAGTCATTTCTGGTGTAAATCTCACTGCTGAAATGCCGCGTATAGCCCTTGCCCCGACTAACGCCCTGTGCCCGGCAGTGGTCGACCTGACACCTTCAGCTCAATGTTTTCTTCAAATGTGTATTGCCAGAATCGATTCACACTGATAAGTCTGTAAACCACATCCATTGCCTTGCACTACCCTTCTACACAGCCACAGTCGGTCGGTGAGTGACTAGTCACTCAACGTAAAACCCAAAACACCTAAATAAAAAATTTTTCGCATTCAAACTTTAAGCCACATCACGCGACAAGACCAATATGCCAATACCGAGCACCGACCGACCAATCAGATATCGTACTTCGCATTAGATCTGCACGGATATGTATAAATTGTAACACATGCTTATGCTTAAATCGCGCATTTGAGTTTGTAGAGAGAGGCTTGTGTCGAAGTAGTGTACAGACCCTTTTCAAGTGGCCCATGAATAATGTTACGCTGTGGTCGTGACGAAAATGACAAGTCCACAATTGGTCGATTATAATGCTTTCTCAGTACAAAACAGACTTGCGGGGTCAGGCCGGTATTGTTTCTATTTGTGTGATAACATGGAAAATAAATAATGGTCAAATTACTACTGCTTTTTTCTGTTAAGACAAAAGTTTTGGCAGTTCTGCAGCTCTGCAGAACTTAAGGGTCAGCCGACCCTGCTCCATAATATTCTGTGGCTTTAATAATATATGCGATAAAATGAAATAAATCTCTACTTAAAGCTAACAACAACATGTGTTCTCGATTTCTATTCAACTGAGAGTTACCCATGATGCCCGGTTGGTCAAAAAGATATCGAACTTCTTTACAACGGCGCTGGACCTTATGTGTGCGCCCACTATGTTTCCTACGACAAATGAAGCAGTCTTAATTAAAACCGCCTGTAAAATAATCACAGCCTCGTGCTCTGCCGACAACGGTCCAACCCTTCCTCATAAACCTGTTCCTGTAGGGCCGCGCGTGTGTTGTTTTGTATTACAGGGCCGGGAACGGCAGACGCAGGCGGCTATTGGCCAGCCACGCAGTCATTTAATCGTAGTTAGCCGTAGAAAAGTAAAGAGAGCAAGCAGGCTGCTAAACGACTGTCATTGTAGACACCTGCCGGGTGCCGGTCCCAGTTCTGTAATTAGTGTATAGTAAACGGTGGAAAAAGAACACAGTGTGCGCTCAATATGGTTGATTTTCGATTATTAAGTGTTTTTTGTTTCATCCTGCGAATGCTTTTAAAGAAATCTTGTTAATAGAATTTTGAACTGTCTAAAGTTTGGGTTCCAGAGCTGAGTAAATTCTCTTCTGACGAAATGAGAGCTCTAGAGGAATAAAGTTAGTTGGCATATGGATAGAAGAGCGCCAGATCACAGTTATCGAAGTAAAATACTTTGGATATAAATGTATGATTATAAGTGCAACATAATAATATTGTTGAATTTTTAATAGCTTTTGACAGTGTGTCTAGTTATTTAGTTAGCAAAATTATTATTTAAAGTACTTTATATACGAAAAGTTGCCAAAATTGATCCCTCATTTTGTTGTTGATGATAAAACAAAGATGGAAATATGCTGAAGGTGGTGCGCATAAACCGAGAGAAAGTTAATTTGTTGCTGGAAATGTATGAACTTCGTGGTGAAATTAGTTCCGTATATGAAATTAGCAGAACTATGTAGCTTCTGCATTAACACTTACCTCCTGAAGTCAACAGTTTCATATACGTGGGGTTACCCAAAAAAAAAACGGAATTATGTTTTAAAAGCTATACTGTCCACTATAACTAATACACTTGTCCCACTGGTGCTTTCACTGCTTGAAACATTTTTTGAGGTCTTCCTTAGAAATGTCTGACAGCTCCTCCCTCATTTTTTTCTTGACCTCTTCAATGTCGTCAAAGGGGCATCCTTTCATGCCCCTTATCATCCGTGGAAAGAAGAAAAGGTCGCACGGAGCCAGGTCAGGCGAATAAGGTGCGTGAGGCAGCGGAACCATGCCATTTTTAGCCAGAAACGGTCGAACAGAGATGGCTGTGAGCGCTGGTGCATTATCGTGGTGGAAGAACCAGTCTCCTGACTGCCACAAATCGTGTTTTTTTTGCCGAACACTGTTTCGCAATCGTCGAGAGCGAGGTTTGTCATCAATCGACATGTCGCCATTTTTAAATCGAGCAAACCACTCGTACACCTGAGTTTTTCTCATAGCATCATCTTTGCAAGTTATTTTCAACATTAAAACAGTTTCAGCAGCATGTTTACCACTTCACAGCTGCACCTTGCTCACTGAAGCTTGCCATCGTAAAAATCGAAACAAGTACGAACCAGCTCTAGCAAAAATAATGACTACAGATGAACGAAACAAGCCAGATCGACAACTCAGGTGGCACTGAACTGGTAATGAGTTGCGCTGTACGCCTCTAGGGGCAGAAATGTGTACTACACAGGCTCCGCAAACTGCAATGCTATCCCGGTTATTTTTGGGTATCTCCTCGTATTTTCAGCAACATACCATCTTATTTTTTAATTCTCTTGGTTGCTCGCCACCTTAAAAGTTTGATTTAGGCAAGCAACGTTTACTTTGTGTATATGTATGGTATTCAGGCACCATTAGTTTTTCATTTTTACTCGTATAAACTTAAATGATTTCTCAACGAATTTCAGTAAATTCTATATTATGGATACCACACAGAGCATACTATATAAGGATATCTCCGTTTGACATATTTGCCAAAACAAAGATCCCTTTACATGCTGCACGGTTTGCAGGCCCTAAGCTAAAACCAACTTGGATAATAGTAGAACAATACGATTATTGCCTGGACCCATCCAAGCATTCCACATTTCTGTAACCGCTTTCACGTTGAGCAAAGAAAACGGCTGCTACTCAAAATTAAATCGTAACTTTCCCGCGTCGGTCGTGTGTCCCTCTGCGGAGGAGTCTCCTGGAAATTATGAAAATTAATTTGCGTCCCGGACCGCTGAGAAATTACAAAACGATGCCTGTGGCATGTAAATTCGAGAGTAATGAGAGTACAACTAGAACGCTGGGCGTTAGCCAGCCGTCTTCTTCTGTGGACAACGCCACGCTACAATAATTATTGTGCTACTCTCTGTCTCTTTTTGTCATTAACGGCCCAACGTTTAATCAAAACGAAACACAATTAATGTGCTTTGTTTTGTGTCTTGAAAACCGACAGAAATGTTCTAAACAAACCTTGTGAGGGATGGAAGACACTCTGTACAAGCCCTAGTCTCGAGTACTGCTCACACGTTTGGAGTGTTGTCACCGCGACTAAATTATACATGATAGATGCTATTCAGAGGAGGCATATCTGACTGGTCTCGGGACCTTTTTCCACCGACGGGTCGTTGGCCATCTAGCTCTCTTCTACCGCCAGACATACCCTCCCGATTTCGGCTTCCCATCCTAACCGTGTCGAACTTCGTATCTAGAACAGGCCGATACGTCCGCTCCTTTTTCCCTAGGGTACCGAGATTGATAACAATCGATTTCTCAAGCCCCTGTTTTTCCCGATTCTATACTAACCTTAGGCAGTTCAAAAATGAGATTAACAAAATTTCTTTAAGTTCCTCATAGCAGCCGCAGTGCCTTGGTATTTAGGCTTCTGTCTACGGGGCCGATTTGCTATATAAAAAAACTATAACTAAACCTATCTCACAATCATGCGGAAAATACAGTTTTTTGTCTGTATAAGCAAAGAATTGGACAGAGCCAGTCAAATAGACCCATACAGTAGACCCAGTTTGCACCGATTTGATAACGCTGCGACGTAGAAATGTCTGCTCCGCCCTATCAACCATTGTGCAACGTTGCGATCAAAGTTGACAGGAGTAAACTGCCAGCAGTAGCTATTTCACGACAGGTGTGTATTCTTTTTTCGTTGCGCATGATGCAGGTGGAGAAGATATTTTTATCATTATTGAAGGCAAATATACGAAAAAGTCTATGTGCATGAAATTACTGCGCGGAAACACCGAGTTAATCTACTGGACACAAATGTTCCCATTGTTCTCAACGCCAACTAATACTTTAACTTCATTGCTAACATCCCTTCTCTTCCACTAAACCTCAGTCCGAAATCTGTCCTAGCCAAGCAATCTTGAATCCGTTGTTAACCCGTCCGACTATAAGTAAAGACGTCACCAATCCTCCCATTACATGTCTCTCTACTCCTCCTTGGAATTAGACCTGAATAGTCCTTTCCGTATTTCCTTATTTGCATTTACTCCATCTGCCCGTATCTACCAAGACGTACCCTTTGATTTACTCGTTGACCATGCGAGGTTAGGAATCGCAAAAACAGTGCTGTAGCATAAGGATCACGAGTTGCTAAAGGGTTAATGCATTAATTTTGCTTTTACTTCTTACAGCACTGGCGAGGAAGCATTGTGATTGCGAAAAATTTGGAAAATGAGACATATTTTTCTGTCCGTCTCTCTGTCCACTAATCCTTGGCTCGTCTAATAACTTGGAAAGTGAATGTAGTTTTTACACAATGTTATCACTATGCTCAGGACGAAAAAGGGTTAAAATTGGAGCAATGTTGCCAGATGGACGGTACTGCCGGTAGGGCGGGGAAAGCATGTCTATGATCTAATTGCCTCGCCTGTTTGACAAACTTGATCCATTCAACCTTTACGCCATTTTTGTATTTTCAGGTAGGTTATAAAGGTGTTTTTATAGAAATAAGAAATGCGGTCGGTATAACCTGAATGTTTATGTGGTCTTATTAATAACCTAACAATTTTTTTCAGTTGTAAAGCTGTTGCAGTTCATTTTCTCTCTGTCATAACGCGTATTGTGAACCCCAGTTTTAGTCAGTTCTATGGTTGAGCTTTGCGTCAGCTCCCGAAATAGATGGGCAAAAACATCTTGTGCATGGGGCTTGAAATATGTTCAGTCAAAAATCCAACAATCCTAACTAGTTACTCCCTACACAAACTTACTTCTGCTGTTTTGAAGTTGGAAGGAACTCGCATGGATCTGTCAATGTCATTAGATTAATAAGTAGCATTCTAGTTATTATTATTGTTATATATAAAAATCTTTGAAAAGAGTTAGAATGATCTGTTACGGTCTCGTCTCTTCCGCTGGGAGCTTCAATCCCTTTTTGGTCTCTCTAATGCTTAATATGAGTACCCCCAGATGAAATATGTTAATCAACGCCTGAAAACACCCCGACATGCTGTTGAATAAAGCACTTCCCACTATCTTGTTCCAGCTCTTTTGGTTCTCATTTGACACACACTGGGATACAAGAAACCTTGTTGGCACGACGGTTTTGCTGTCTGGCTTTTAATATAGCTAAAATAATCTAGAATTGTATTCCTGTTCATAGAACAGAATATCTGATTACTTAACCCACTCCTTTGTACTCCTTTAGAAAAATTCCGTAACGAGCTACTTCAATTTCCATTATTGCTACCTCCAGCCCGATAAGAAAATAAACCGAAGACGTTGTCGGCTACCTATTTCTTTCCTTTTCCATCTTAGCTTATCGTTTATTCTTCTCCGTTAGCGTCAAAAGCAAAGCCGGAGCTTTTTGCTAGTCGCCTTTCATGCTCCTTTTGAAGTGTGTACCCGCCATTGCTGGCTTGGCTCTTAGAGGCCAACTAGGGGCCATTTTGATGCTGCTGTAATGGTAACGAGCCAGCAAATACTCGCCACTGCAGCCCGTTTCAGGCTTGTCCGACATTCTGTTTCATCTAGTTACACTCGCCGAACTGCACAATCACTATACAAAGGATCCGGGAATGGCAGACAACTTTCAAATAACGCTAGAACCTCGTAAATTTCTAATGGATTTCAACGTTCAATCCCTGATTGATGCGGTGGATTTAGATGTGTTGAGCAGATAAACGTTGCCATTTTATCATAGGACTTGAATGGATATGATAGGAACGCATTGAATTAACATGGTTTAAGCATATTTCAAAAACTGCACAAACTGACATTAGGGGCAAAATGATGGTCACCTTGACAATGACCTTCTCCAAGATCTTCAAGGTTATTTCAAGGTAATTGAAATTGAAAAAATGAGCTAATCTTAAGTCCAAATATGACTTTTCCCATGACCATGCCAATGACCTTTAAGGCCACTTCACAGTTAAATCAAGCCATTGCGCTTGCAAAAATATTCGACAGCACAGTTGTCAGGTTTGTGAGTATCACTTAAAGGTGACTTTAACTGTGGCCTTGAGCTTGACCTTCAAGGTCAAGTCAACATTTCCAAGGAAAACATGGCATTTTTATACTGGAAAACTTACATTCGTGACTTTGACCTTAAATAACATTTTAGCTTTACACGACCTTTAGGTCAAGGTCACAATCGGACATAAAATGTACGGCTTCTTACTTTTCCAATGTAAAGATACAAAGTTTCCGTTGACAATTTTGATTTGACCTCAATGGTCGCGATCAAGGTCATACCCAAGCTCACATGGCGACCCACACAAACTGTGATGTCGAACATTTTTGCTAGAGTAAATTGTTTTCGCTCTCTTCAATAGACTTTGGAATGGCCTTGAAGGTTATGATGGTGGTAATTGAAATAACATTAAAGATCATGGTCAAGGTCATCATTTTGCACTCTCGAAATCCTATACTAGAGGTTTGTATGCATTTTTTTTATATACTGTATATGTAGATGAAGATGTAAACCGTTACCTTCTTTTTGATGTATTTAATATTATTTAACATTTGAATTGATCTAAGCATATGACTTTTTTGTTCTCATATTTCATGTCATGTCATCTATGTATACATATAATTCTGCACCATAACTAGAACTAAATTATAATAATTACAAATCAATTCCCTGACAACTATAATACAAATCTGAGGAAATTTTTGGGATGTAGATTGGTAATGTGAACTAGGGTAGAACAACTTTCTGAAAACGAACTGTGTTGAAAATTGCAAATATGATATCCTTTAATTACCAAAAACATCACTATTATATAAGATGTTTAAGAAAAGTGGCCCTGAAACGCCCCCTTACCGAGATACAGAGTGTTGAAGTCTTAATTTATAAATCATATTTTCTTCACCTGAAAAATTGCGTTGAAATGTGCTTCTATAGTATTACCACATTGAAAAGTCATCAAAACTAAATGAATATTATTTTTAGTATCATTTCAACATTATCTAAAAGTTGTTCGACTCGATTCACTAACAACTTTTTGAATAGTGTCCCCTTTCTATTGTTACACGCGCCATATAGGTCGATAGATACCCTAAACTATATCCGCCGAGAAATATGCACATCGTCGGCAAACAATGCATAATCTGCAAAGGTGTATTTTTCGCCGCCGGTGGGGCATCTGTCGGTTTATTAAGCTATGTACAGATATGTAATAACACCGCGAACCTGATAAGCGTTACAGCTCACCGTTCGGCCCGATCCAGACTCTGTCGGTTTTTCAGCGTAACATCAAAGGAAAGGCTCGCGACGAAGTTGCACATGTTTGTACAGGGATATCGGTGCGGCGAGCACGCGCTCATTTCAGTAAACGGATAGAGCGACAAACAACAAAATTGGATCATTTTGTTGCGCGATGTGGTTGCATGACGTGGTTCGGTTTGTGGTGATGCTCGTTGTTGTTCGTCAAAATGCGCGGGCTACGGTTCGTCGCGTGGTTCGGTTCGCGGTGTTGTTACATATCTGTACATAGCTTTAGAACTGAATGGGCGGACACGCGGGATTATTCCTGCCTGGGATCACTCGGGGCGAATCTCTCTTCGGGGAATTGGGCCTACCTGTTTTATTTTAAGCCTCCATACCAGCGAGTCTGCTTAACCCAGAGCAAACTTGCCCCCCACGTCACAGCCCTGACACTATATGACATTGTATGACTTTTAGGCAGAAGTATTTCATAAATGAGTTTCTTATTACTTTTTGAGTGTCGAATACACTATATTGACAGCACTATAATAACTACAGTAAAGAACGTTGTTGTAATTGCAGTAATTATCTCCCCTGTCAGCAGTCTCTATTTTGCTGTCTTCTGGTTTCGTCGCGCTCAGTTAAATGACGAGCCTCTGTACTCCCATTTTGATGTAAATTGCTTAATTTGCTCTAGCAAGAAGGCAAAAAGGGGGCGTTAGAGACTTCTTGAAATTCTACGCTGGGGGGTCCATTTAAATCAAGAAATCGCGCTGCGTGTAAGGATTACAAATTGAATATCCAGGGCAGTCCAGGCTCCATATGAGGTTTTACCACTTCTTTATTTGTCCTCTTCAGGGCATTTTTAGACAATTTGAATATGTTGGATGGAGTCGAGTGATTATAGAAAGCTTATTAGTTTACCCTAAGGCAGTCATACATTCTAGCGTATACCTGACAGACATAATTCGTCAATGTATAGGTCATCTGGAAGGTGAAAGGTTGATGTCATTCTTAAGGATAAACCAATTTCTTTAAAAGGCAAGTATTATGTTTTTACTAGTTGTCAAGGAATTGCTGTGAACGTACTTGGAAACATGGCTGTGACCTCTTGGAGGCATTGATCAATGGTTTTAGATAATGGTACTATAGAGCCATGCAGGTTGCAATAGCATTTATGCCTATGTCAACCCTATTTCTGTAATTTAAGTTCACATACACTAGGACAGGATTAAAAAAATAATTTTTACCTGCGAGAAAATACTCTACCTAAATGTGAATAAACTGCATTGCAATATCCTTGAAGTTATGCTTCCTAATTGCAGTTTTGCGAACTGCCTGCTCGACACTGTCCTACTACTATACTAATGGGAATCTAACATCTGTCTTCAGCCTTGTTCGTGCTGAACACTTCCCAGTTTGTCCAACAACTAATTAAACGGGGTCCATCTTTCTTCGTTCTGACGTGAATCTGGAACATTTTACCCACCAAACTCGTTCTCATGTTAGTGTAGATGAACTAGGAAGGTCTCGAGAATTTCGACATAAAACTTTCTCACTATATCATACCATACTAACCAGAGCACAGACAGCACAGGGTGCGTTCCATCTATTTCCAGACTCGAACATTGCGGGAGTGGAAACAGCAAACTGATAATTGATGGCACTATCTGCTGTCTTATTTCTATAGACAAAATATCCTGAATAGAGGATAGTTGCTGTAGTTGTCCTACTTGAGACCAAGCCTAAACGATTCTGATGAGTTATCAAATAGCAGGAAACATCTATCTGCGGTTGCCCCTCTGTAGTCGGACGAACCAAAGCTGTATTGCTAACCAGAGCTAATCCTGACATCAAACATACATCTGATTCGGAATATACGCATGCGATTTACAAAAAAGTGAGTTTTCTTCAAACCACAGATACCCAGAATTTTGAAAATTGTTATTGGAAATCAAGTAACCTCATAGGACTGTGTAAGATATAATATGGGGTTGTCCAAAACGGACGCAGGAAAGTAAACGCATATTAAAACAAGAAAGATTGATATTCAAATCAAGTTGGGTACTTTATTTTGGAGGTTTATTTATACCATTTATGTATGAAAAACAATACGGCTCAAATGTTCACCACGACTGGATTTACAGACATCCACACGATGGTCGAAATTTTCAATGACATTTTGCAACATGGTCGGTTCTATGGCATTTATCTCGGCAATGATGTTGTTTTTGAGTTCTTGGAGGGTGGCTGGTTTGTTGGCGTAGACTTTGCTTTTCAAATATCCCCATAAAAAGAAGTCCAAGGGAGTCAAATCGCACGATCTTGGTGGCCATGGCACATTTCCTCTGCGCGAAATCACGCGATCACCGAAGAAGGACTGCAATCGCTGGATATTGACGTTGGTTGTGTGGCATGTTGCACCGTCTTGTTGGAAATAAACATCGTCCATATCCATTGCTTCAAGTTGCGGTAAAAAATAGTCCTCTATCATCACGTGATATTGCTCAGAATTGACGGTAACGGCGTCCCCGGCCGCATTTTCGAAAAAGTAAGATCCGATGATGCCTTTTGACCACAATGCACACCACACAGTCACTTTTTGAGGATGCATCGGCTGCTCTTGATACTCACGGGGATTTTCGTTCGCCTAGATGCGATAGTTTTGCTTGTTTACCGTCCCATTCAAAGTGAAATGCGCTTCGTCGCTGAACAGATTTGTGATGAAAAATTGGCATCAATTTGGCGGTGTTCAAGGAGCCAATATGAGAACGTTCGGCGCGAAAAATGGTCGGCCCGACGCAGCTCTTGCGTCAATTGGATCTTGTAGGCGTGTACATTGAAATCCTTGTGGAGAATGCGGAGCAAACTGGTTCTCGAAATGCCCAATTCTTGGGATCGACGCGTTGTTGATTGTTTCGGATCGTCTCTCACACTCTCCTTCACAACAACAATATTTTCCGGTGTGCGAACGCTCCTTGGCCGGCCAGAGCCTGGCAGATTTGCCACAGAACCTGTTGCCTCGAATTTACGCACCAGACGACCGATGGTTGTTTCGTTTCGGCGGTTGTTGCGACCGACCATTTTTGTAGTGCTCTTGAATAACTTTAATGCGGTCTTCAATCGAATATGACTCCATAGCGATCAATGGTAAACATTTAACTAACAAAATGGCATGTCGGTGACAGAAAACAAAGATGGCGTCTATGTCAAATTGACGTTTACTTTCCTGCGTCCCTATTGGACAACCCTTTATATTTGAGTAATTCGTGACGGTGAATTCTGTCAGTCATAAAAGAAATAAGGCATGT